AAAGATTTTAAAAGAATCACTTAGTATTTTAGATTTATTGAAAATTTTAACTATTTCCATGACATACTAAGATTTTCAACATAATTACCAATAATTTTAATGGTAATCTTATTTTATTCTAAGTAAAAGATTATAAATACAAATCACTTTTAGTATCATTCATGGTTTTTTTTTTTTTTTTTCCATGATTCACGTCTTTGAATGCCACTTTTCCAATTTCTTCTTTGCCTATTGTGTCGGATTTACATGCATAATTCACATAATTCACATGCATTTTCAGCATGGTTTATGTACTTTCTCCATATGAACGTCCCTTTTCCTCTTGCAACTTTGAACGCCACTTTTCCATTTTCTTCTTTCCATTTAACACATACTATTATAACACTGCATTCTTTTTCTTGTAATTGGGTTCTTTTTCCCTGTAAATGGTAAAGCGATTGTGTTTCAAACAAATCTAAAAATCAGTATGTCGTCCCCATTTCTTAGGTGCCAATCGATTTCAAAACACATAACTTTTCTAAGGAATGAAACGGTGACGCTTCTGGAATTAGTGTGTTCTTAGAAGTTAAAAAGTTAATTAGCTCCACTCAAGAAATTCTTTAGGATTTCTGCAGCATAGACTTAAATGGCTCTAACGTGGCCCGTGGTAGAAGTTATTCGCTAGAACGAAATTTCCACTTACTTTTAGTAACGTGTATGTGGGTGTTTGCTTAAGCGCACTCAGATTTTGTATAAAATGGTGAGGCCAGTTTGCTGGCTTAAACCACACCCACCTCTCTTTCTCTGTTCTGCACTTAATACAAATGATGGCAGCTCTGAATTTTCCCTTCTTGGCTATTGTGTCACTCTTTCTCGTCATTCCCATTTGCTTAAACCACCTAGCCCTTGGCTTTCAAACTCCCCTGGCAACTGCCTTACCCCCTCAAAATGAAACTGACAAGCTAGCATTGTTAGCCTTCAAGGATAAAATACTTGAAGATCCATTTGGAGTCATGAGTTCTTGGAACGAGTCTCTCCATTTCTGCAATTGGAGGGGGGTTTCATGCAGCCATCGACACAAGGGTAGAGTTACCAACTTGAATTTGACTGGCCAAAAGTTGGTTGGTTTGATATCACCCCACATTGGAAACCTATCATTCATAAGGCAAATCAACCTCGGTCACAACTACTTCAAAGGGGAGATTCCTCAAGAGATTGGTCAGTTGTTTCGGTTGAGATTTCTCAGTCTCAGTTTTAATGTCCTTCAAGGCAAAATTCCAAGCAATTTGGCATTTTGCTCAAGATTACAAGATGTCTATTTCAGCGAGAATAGCCTTATTGGCGAAATTCCTACTGAACTTCGTAATCTTTCAAAAAGTGTACGCAGGATCTGCTTCTTTGGAAATCATTTAATTGGAAGTATCCCACAATGGCTTGGGAATGCGTCTTCACTTGAAATATTGGCTTTGAAAAGCAATAATATACATGGAAGCATCCCAGTGGAGCTTGTTAGACCTCCAAAGTTGGATATTCTGTTGCTATCTACAAATAACTTATCGGGCAGGGTACCTGTTTCTTTTTTCAATAGTTCATCACTCACTGTGCTTTCCTTGGCAGTAAACCAATTGCAAGGTATAATCCCATCTAATATTTTCATTACACTTCCTAATCTTTGGGGTATTTCTGTTACCTATAATTTCTTTCATGGAGAGTTACCAACTTCATTACAAAATGCATCTCTGCTAAGAACCTTCGCTGTCACAGCTAACAATTTGGGTGGAGTCATACCTTCCAACCTTGGAGGCTTAAGAAATCTTACATCTTTTGGAGTGTCTGGGAACTGGTTGGAAAGTAAGGATGAAGGTTTAGGGATCTTAACATCTTTAGCCAATTGCACCAACCTCCGAATATTGGATTTAGGATTCAACCGTTTGAAAGGTGAATTGCCTATTTCAATTGCCAATCTTTCAACTGCCCTTAAATTCTTTTCCATATCAAACAATCAGATTTCAGGTAAAATCCCTGAGGGGATTGGCAACCTAATTGGTTTAACCTATTTGCAACTAGACACAAACTATCTTAGAGGTGAAATCCCTTCTAGTATTGTCAAATTAGAAAAGTTGTCTATTCTTGCTCTAGGTCAGAATAGAATTTCTGGGCCAATCCCATCATCACTTGGAAATATCACCCAGTTGCTTACATTGGATTTGGAAAAAAATAATTTGACAGGTACAATTCCTATCACCTTAGGAAATTGTTCTCAACTTCTAGATCTTTACCTTGGTAAAAATTACCTTATTGGAGACCTTACCAAAACAGCTCTTGAGCTTATCTTCATTCATAATCCTTTCTTTGAGCGAGAATTCTTTTATAGGACAATTGCCCTTAGAGGTTGGGAACATGACCAATCTTGTGGGGTTTGAAGTCTCACAAAATAGATTGTCAGGAAAAATTCCAAGCACCTTGGGAACTGTCTCTTATACAAATATCCAATCTTGTTAAAAAAAAAAAAAAAAAAAGGTAAAATCTTCAAATCCACTTTTTAAAAAGGTAAGTAAAAACAAATTCACCCTCAAAACAATGCAAGGACAAATTATTTTTTCAAATCATAAATCAAGATAAATAATTTATTTTTTAATAAATTTTATTAATTTTTTGTTAAAAAATACTTATATCGCAAGCAAAATTCATTAAAAAAATGAATGATTTATTTTGATTTATAATTTAAAAAGACAATTTGTTCTTGTATTGTCTTAAAAGATGAATATCTTCCCATCTATCTTTTTTAAGGGTGAATTTGAGGATTTTATCATTGAAAAATTGGATCAAAGAGAATTAAGATACATGAGAAACTCGAAGAAAATGTGGTAAGATAAGAATATCATGCATTTCTGTCACTCATCATATATATGCTTTTCATATGTTTGTCATGAAATGAAACCAATAAACTCGAACCATCTATCTGGACATTTTTTGAACAGTCAAATCGGCGACGTTCGAATTCACAACTGAACGACTAGAAATGGCGCGGTAGAATCATTGAGGAGAGACCGAAATGGAATACAAAAATGTTGAATCAGCTCCAATCTGGATGAGCTGCAATTTCTTAGAGATCTCTAGATATGCATATCAAAGAGGAGGCACCAGTTCAAGAAGTTCATCAGGGAAACATAATGTAATTAAATCAGTATATATACCAAAACAACAAATTATATATTTCGTTGTTTTGATTTTATAATTCACTCAAGATAAAGATATTTTGTGTGTGTTGTTCTTTGGTTTTCCAGGCGCTGCATTTCAAGTTGCTGCAGGTCACAACAATCTTGCTACAGAGAGAAAAACCCTACGAGAGATTGTCAAGACTAAGAGCAAAGAGAGAGATACAAATTTTAGTTCATTACTAGAAAAGGTTAATTACTATGTACGTAAGATCCTCCTTTTGGATTGCTTTCATGGTACTTTTTCCACGAGCAAGCCATCACAGCACTTTTTAACCGTATCAAATCTCAAATAGACTAGCACATGAAGTTTGGCTGCTTTGGATCAATTGCATTCAACTCTTCGCATTTGCTAGAGTTTCATATAAAGTAATAGCAACTAAATTATCCCTATTTTTCCATGTTAAAAAATTTCAAATAGACTAGAGGAAAACTAGTACTTATTGTTTTGTCAGTCTCTTTGATATTTTCTAATTGCTTTTGGAATTTTTTTTTTTTGGGCTTGGGTGGGGCCTTGGTGGGCCTTAGTGGCTAATGCCGTGGTATAGTAAGAGAAACAACGAAACGAAGAGTGAACGGATTGTGGAAGAGGTCCAACGGATTGAAGAGACAGCTGAGAGAGCAAAGGCTGCTGCTGCTGCTGCTCTGCTGCAAAGGGGAAGACAAATTGGAAACCCAAGAGTTCCAAAAAAGCCAAACAAAATCAAATCCAAGCAAAACAATCTTCCCAATATTTTTCATTCTTTTCTTACATCTATTAATGAATTCAATAATTCTTAATTTTTTTTATCAAATTTTTCTTTTCGCATCTTAAATTTTGAAACTATTCAAAATTGAAGACATTTAATTTAAAAACTCAAATTCTAACATTTAAGAACTTACTTATTACATTTAACTTGGAGTTCTAAATCCATCTTCAATCTTTCATTAATTTAACAAAAAAAAAAAAAACTTTGCTTCTTTCTCATATATATGTCACATTATTGCACAGCTGATGAAGGAGCTATGGGAAGAATTAACAAAGGAACATCTGAAACTGGGTGCGAAGATTAAGCGCATGGAGGAAGATGTGAAAGCAGTCGAAGAAGATAGAAGTGTTTTAAGAAAGCAGTCAAGGGAAATAAGCCAGACGAAGGACGAAGCAAAGAAATGCATTCTTAATTTCCAGAAGCAGCAAAATGATATGATAACAGAAAAGATTATGTTGTCGAGTTAATTATTAATTGTTCATTTAATTTGTTCTGTTGATGTAGCCACCAGAGCACAACCGTGAATATCCTATCACCCTACTTACGTTCGTATCTTTGACCATATAATAGACATTCTATCCAACCAAATCAACCCATGGGAGATGCTATTAGTCCCACCTTATTCCAATTTGGTAAAAAGTCATTATTATTATTTTATCTCTTCTTAATATTAATTTTGATAATGATTAATATATTTTCGAATTCAATACATCATACAATATACTTATTAAAAATTTTATTATTTTTAAATTTAAATTAAAAACAAAAAAGAACTAAAAACTATTGATTTTAATTACTAAACTGTAAGTATTATAAAATATATTAATTTAGAAGATATACCAATAATTTTTCTTTTAAGCTTCTTTCCTATCTTATAATTCAAGTAAGGATTGGATTCTTAATAAAGTAAATATTCTTTCATAATTTAAATTTAAAGTTTAAGTTTTCATAAGTTGGTAAAAGGAAATTCAATCAAATAAGAGGATGGGGCCAATTGCAGCTTTTGTGAATTAAAGCAGGAGGATGTTAACCGTTTAACAATCCAATGCAGTGTCTCTTATATTGTATGGAGAAAATGCCTTGACTGGTGGGGTTTCAAGTCGTTGTGCACAATGGTCAGGGAAGTTTCTATTCAACATAGTGGGGCAGAAAAGAACCATAAAGGATGGCTGGCAGTGTGGAAGGGGAGGTGGGGTCACTTTGGTTTGCAAAGAAGAATCCAAGATTCACTTAAGCTAGCACACAAAGAACTGCTCTTAATCTCATAGGCATGCATTTGGATGAGTACTAGAGTTACACTTTCCACTCTAGGCTTCGGTAAAGTCGCAAATTATAGAGAAAAATGTAAATAAAAATATTAATTTTTGATTTTTTTATTTAAAAATATTAATTTTATTAGTTTTTAAATATAAATATAAATT